CACTGGTGAGGCCACCAGTGCTCTGTGGCCTCTTCATAAATTCTGTTTTGTTGAAGTCTGAAACAGAGTACAGTGCACTCTCTCATAACTATTTCAGGGTTAGGCAATAGCTGTTATATAGCTGCATAGCTGTTTCCCAGTATGCTTTGAGTATCCTCAGTAAGCATAACTCTCTGCTACCAGCGAGGTTTAGAAACACCATGCCCTCAAGAAAGATGAGCAGCATGGTTTGGTCTTTACAATGCACCATCAACTAATGAAAGTTTAATATAAACTATAGAAACAATCTCCAGAGTGAAGACCAGAACATCACAAACATTCTTGCCTCTAGGCTGTGTTACATTCTTTGTTTTTTTTTTTCTCCCAGATCACATTAATCTTTCACTACACAGTATCGAAATTGCAGACATCAAGACTGTTCTCCCAAAAAACTTAATGACTGTGAGTTTATGCACTCCAGGTGAGGATGTTTGTTTTCATTCCCTCGGGCAGATAAGAAAATTTATCTCCCAGTCCAGACAATGGACCTGTGCATTTTATGAAAAGCCTCAATGAGTCTTTTATAAAAATAAAACCTTATCTAAAGCTGTTATACAGTCCTCTTTCTCTACAAAATCACTTGGCTCCTGGGTCTACTGTCAGTGCTGTCCTGTATCATACAATATTTGATGTCATGCCATCACATTTCCACAACTCCACCTCCAGTCCATTCAGTTAAGTTGTACTTTACATTGAATGCAATCAAATAAACTTCATTTTGTGGCAAGAGACTTAAAAAGGAAAAGCAATCAGGCAATGAGTAGAAAGAAATTATTTCCCCACAAACCATAAAATTTTTCCTTTAAAAAGATTCTGTAATCTTTAAACTGCTGCCAATGTTACTGGCAAAGGTCTTACTGTTACTGTATAAAGAGCATATAGAGTCAGTCTAGTTCAAAGGTTTTATTGTTTGTTTGTTGGGTTGTTTAGGTTTGATTTTCCAATTATTTTAATGAACAAATGGTTAAAAAAAATACAGTTCTAATCTAGGAAGAGATATATGAATTTCATAACATGTACAGTTCCTTCCAAGCTTAAGAAAATTGTTATCATAGTTTCCTAATTTGAAAGAAGATCTGAGATTTTCTACCACTTGTCTGAAATATACCAAGAAAAAAGTCAATAGAGAAGCCTTGTTGAAACATTACTAAGTCAGAAAATGTGAAAACTTAAGCAGAGCAGACAAAATTGTCAAGGCTATTCTAGTAAATTAACAAACTTTTCAATGACTGGGAGCTGATCAAGGCTCTTTCCTTACTCCAGGAAAATGCATCTGGCAGCAGACAGAGCTTACTGTTTCCTGAGAGACACTTCAGGCAATGGCAAAGCCCAGAACATACAGCTTTCTCCGTAACCTGTACTCATTACCAGATGATAGCTAAAATGGCTTAGGGAGATAACACAGGTTTGCATTTAGCAAAATCCTTAACATCTATAGAAATGTGTTATGCAGTTTATAAACTCTTTATATATCTTCCCTGAAGAAAGAATCACAAAAACAGTTTCTAAACTAAAGCCATGTTTTCTTTAAGAAAAGAGCTCTGTGACAGACAGCAGTATTGGAAATCAGCTATATTGATCGTTACTCAAAGCTGCCTTGCAACATTCTTTGTTTTGTTCTCTGCTGTTATCAACATTTACAGCTCTTTTCATTTACAAACTCTGTTGTTATCAACATCTCTGAGGGAGACGGATAGGAGGTGTCAACCTGCCCCTGCTGATACCCAGCATCCCCCTCCTAAGTCCCTACATGGGGTAGTAGCTGACCCAGCTGCTCACCTGCAGGACAGAGGGCTTGATCGCCCATAAGAGGAAAGGGGATGGACCCTTGTCTCAGCTCGAAGGAGAAAGAGGCTTATGATCCTGGCACCCACAGTGCCACCAACCCCCACGGTGTCCCTGGGTAATAGATTCGAGGCTCTTGGGCAGGAAAAGGAAAAAGTTGAGGGTCTGGACAGTAGTTGGAACATGGGAAGCAACCCCAAGAAGCATGACAAGATTGGGGGAAGTACCGAGCCTAGGGCTCAGGGCCAGACAGGGCACTGCATCAAAACCAGTGCCACAAAAAAAGGCCAGAGAGTCTTAGTGATCAGAGATGCCTTGCTGGGGAGCACTGAGGCTCCCATTTGTTGCCCAGAAAACCTCTCCAGAGAGGTGTGTTGTCTTCCTGGAGCACGTGTCAGAGATGTTAGGAAGGCTCTGCCACAGTTCATTAAACCGGAAGACTACTATCCTCTTACTGTCATTCAAGCTGGGTCCCGGGTAGTTGTGACAAGAAAAATTAGTAATACTAAAAAGGACTTTGCATCCCTGGGAAGGTTGTTGAAGGGATCGGGGATGCAGGTCGTGTTCTCCTCTGTCCTCCCGCTAGGTGACTGGGGGAGGAGAAAGGGACAGGTGAACAACTGGCTGAGGGGGTGGTATCTGGTCCAAGGCTTTGGATATTTTGATCTTGGGCAGTCCTTTGAGAAGCCAGGTATGAGAGCTGCTGATGAACTCCATCTCAGTAAGTGGGGCACAAGAGCGTTGGGGAGCAAGCTCTCTGGGCTGATTATCAGGGCTTTATACTAGGTTTGATGGGGGAAAGGAGGGGGGTTAGAAGTGACAGAGAAGGGCTGGGGGAAGTCATCACTACCATCAGTATCTTCTTCTTGCATCCCCGCAGGGGTAACTGCACCTGCTGCTTCCCTAAAGTGCCTGTACACCAGTGCACGGAGCATGGGAAATAAACAGGATGAGCTCAAGATCTGTGTTCGGTCGTGGGGCCATGATTTCATTGCGATCACTGAGATATGGTGGGACAGCTCACATGACTGGAACACTGCCATTGACGGCTATGTCCTCTTTAGGAAAGAGAGGCTGAGGAAGCAAGGGGGCAGGGTTGGCCTTTATGTGAGGGAGCAATTAGAGTGCACCCAGCTCCAGCTGGGGGAGGATGAATTAAGAGGTAGGCTGGTATGGGAGACATGGTGGTGGGGGTCTACTACAGGTCTCCAGATCAGGAGGAGGAAGTTGATGAGGCCTTCTATGAACAGCTGCTAGTAGCCTCACGATCACGAGCACTGGTCTTCATGGGGGACTTCAATTACCCAGACATCTTCTGGGCAAGCAACTCGGCCAGGCACAAGCAGTCCAAATGGTTCCTACAATGTGTTGAGGGCAATTTTCTGACGCAGGTGGCGGAGGAGCTGACGAGGCGGGGTGTGCTCCTGGACCTCATTCTTACCAACAGGGATGGCTTTGTTAGGGATGTGAAGGTTGGGGGCAGCTTGGGATGCAGAGACCATGAGATGGTGGAGTTCCAGGTGGAACTAGGCAAAGGAAGTAAGGCTAAAAGCAGGATTGCTACCCTGGACTTACACGAAGAGACAGCTTTGACCTCTTCCGGGACCTGCTTGGGAGTATCTCATGGGCTAGGCTGCTAGAAGGCAAGGATGCTTGTGAGAGCTGGGCTACATTTAAGCAGCACTTCTTCCATGCTCAGGGTCGGTGCATTGGGGAAGGGGGGCAGGAAACCCATGTGGATGAGCAAGAAGCTCATCAATAAGATCAAAAGGAAGAGGAAGGTCTATGAAATGTGGAAAAAGGGCCTGTCCTCTTGGGAGTAGTATAGATGTGTTGTCAGGGCCTACCGGGACGCAGCGAGGAAGGCTAAAGCCCACTTAGAGATGAGGCTTGCAAAAGAGATGAAGGATAATAAGTGTGTTTTTTTTTGTTTTGTTTTGTTTTAAAGTATGTAAACAGTAAAAGGGAGACTAGGGATAATGTGGGCCCCTTGCTGAACGAGGGGGGTGTCCTGTTAATGGGAGACACCGAGAAGGCAGAGATGCTGAATGCTTTCTTTGCTTCAGTCTTTACTTCAAGGACTCCCTTCAAGGACTGTCCTTCCCTCTCCCCCCCACCCCCCACCCCCCCACTACCCCCAGGACTCCTGGACCCTGAAGGGAGGAGAAAGGGTTTGGGAAATTGAGAGCTCCCCCCTGTTTGATGAGGGAGTGGTTCGGGAGCATCTGAGTGCGATCAGTGCACACAAGTCCATGAGCCCCGATGGGATACATCCACGTGTGCTAAGGGAGTTGGCAGAGGTGATGGCCGAACCACTGTCTATCATCTTTGAAAGGTCCTGGAGAATAGGAGAGGTGCCTGAAGACTGAAGGATAGTTAATGTCACTCTGTTTTTCAAGAAGGTCAAGAAAGGATCTGGGAAAATTTACACCGTTGCCTATCCTATCTTTTAAAAATTGATGCTCCTAGGGCAGAGTGTCAAGATCCACCAAGGTTTTTCTTTGCACACAGAGTAAAGGAGTAAACACTCCTTTCTGTGAAGCCTTTATCTTTGTGCACCTCAGTGCAAAGACCTTGGACTGACTAATGCACTTTTAAATTCTTTCCTACTTCAAAGGATGAATGTCAGTTATTCTTGGCCCTTACTTTGCATTGCACATAGTATCTTTTTCTTAAGAGGAGCTCTACATAGTTTTTAACTATGAATAAACTCGTAGTATATGATGGGTATGTCTGTTACTTCAACAGTTTCACTGTTTACTGTAGGGTCTCTCCAGAAAAGCTAAGACTCTATGAAATCCGAGGTGTCGAGGTGTGCCAAAAAAAAAATAAATTGATACCACATGTCACACCTTGCTAATTTCTTGATATTTTCTGCAATCTAAGGAAAACTTTCCTTTTTACTGTCTCTGCTTCATAACTAATTTTCCTGCATATTTTTCAGATTGGTCACTGGAATTCTGCCTTTCTTTAACATCTACTCAACCTTGTTTTCCTTTCAAATGATTCCTTTCAGCTAATCATATACCATCTTTTTCTTTTTTTTTTTCTTTCTTTTTCTACATAAGAAAACATCTTGGAAAAAAAAAAAAAAAACATTGTAGAATAATCTTGCAGTTTTTGTTCTTTAAGTATCAATATCTTCAAAGGGACAGCGAAATAACCTTGTAAATATCTATGAAAATTCACAATAATTTTATTTGGAATTATTCGTAAAGTAATTTGTGAATTGCTTCAATTATGGTGAAACATTTTTTAGACATGAGTCATTTTGGATTTTGCTCTGTTTTAATATTTTTGTGACATGTACGTATAAGATATTCAGCTAACAAAAAATGTATTTAATAGATTCATAAAAATTAAGCACAGAACATGAGTTATTTGTCAGGAAGGGAATTCAAAATAGAGGATTAACAAAGAGGATTACAAAGTTTAGCTACTGCATTAACTGTACATTCAGTTGAATATTACCTTTTCATATAAATAACACATTTCCCTGATAATGGAGGAAAATGCAGTTCTTTGGTTATATTCCTCAGCATTTTGGGGCTTCAGGAAAGAATAAAGACTGGTACAGCAGGTATATACAAAAACATTTAAAGTTTGAACCCAGTATTTTGAAGATCCAATAAATGCAACTTTGTGACTATCAAAAATGTGGCTATCTTCCAGGTAGTGCATCTCTTCCAGTCAATATCCAATGGAACAATAAGCAATACAAAGTTATTGTGGAGCTTTCATACTTTCATTTTATCTTAAAATGCAGGTTGATTCCAGGAGGAAAAGAAACTCAGATATTGCAGCGGTACTTCACAGAAAGGACACATTTCTCTAATTACAATGTCAAGTGTATATTATCAGAAAATTAGAGTTATCTAGCCTGTGGGCTTTTTGTTGAAAAATCCATTTAAGAACTTGCTATATTTTTATAATCCAATGTGAATAGAAACAGAAATAATGTGTTTGAAAGTGTGACTATGGAATCAGAAATACAAGAAAACTTCAAAATAAACTCCTAGAACTAATTAATATGTTACTATATTTTACCTTTATAGTCTTTATGCTGCACATAGCAAAGAATTCCTTTTCATAGACATTTTCATAAATATTTCAGTGCCTATGAGCATACTTTCTAGAATAATACTCAGACTTTGAAGGAAAGCAAAAAAAGTTTTTTTGTTTTGTTTTGTTTTAAGTGACAAATATACCCATACTTAAAATTGTGTTTTGTTTGCTCATGAGAAATAGTAACTCCAGGAAATTTCTATAAATGAATTTCTAATAACCACACATTAATGGATATTTCAAGGAATATTCACACTTCTTGTCCTGAAATAAATCCTGCGTTCTTGAACAGGACACTTGTGATAGTATTGGAATTGGAAATAATTAGCTAAAAGTTAACCACAGAATAGAAGTAGCATGAGTGAAGAAATAAAAGGAAATGTGTAGTTCATTTAATCCTGCACTACTTAAGGTTTCTCTAAAATTCCTTAAGTGGGAGAAGATTTAATACCCATTACCAATTGTTAGTGTTCATGTCAGGAAGGTGTTCCAATATACAGCAATAAGAAAGGTAGCTTTCTAATGTTGACATTCATCAAATATAATTTGGGTGAATCTGCATCATTTAAAGATTTAATCTGTTAATTAAATTGATAGGACAGCAGTTATACCACACTTTATATTTTTCTGACTATTAAGTATTATCTCACTTATGAGTTTTTACCTTACCATGTATCTCCTTAATCATACTCAACATATGCTGCATTTTGCCAAATTAAAACAGTAAATTTCATTTTTATACAAAAATGAAGCAAAATATGACACTTTTATAGTACGCAACAAGCAGTGGATTTTTTTTTATATATTTTTATTTTTTAGTTGCATACAGAATTCTGGAACGTGTCATGAGAAAAAAGAAAAAAAAAGGTAAATAGGAGATAGATTTCACATTTAAAGTAGTAGTTTGTTCATTGGAACAACCTGAATAGCAAGTCAAATTAAGTTAAATCACTGAGCTGTAAAATAAACAAAATAACAGCTGGAAAGTGTTCTACCAAATTAGGGACAGACGTTTAAAGGAAATGATGTTTCTTTAGAAGTGAAATAGATCTCTTGAAGAGATGGGCAATATAATCGGTGAAAATGTGCTTTCTTTGGAGAATCTTGAGAAACAGAAAGGTAAAAAAATAGAGTCCAAAAATAAGTCAATACAAGTTGGTAATGAGCAAAAAAAAAATAAAGTCAGTTACATCTTCATAAAGCTAAGGTCCCTAACTCACCACAATATTGCACAAGATAATAAAAATGTAAGATTAGGAAAAGATCCAAAGAGACGAGCTGGTCCTTCCTTCTGCCATTGCATGACTTCAGCTATTTGTGATAGATATTCTTTCTTGCACTGATGTTAAACACTTCTGGTGGAAAGGAAACAAAAACTGATTGAAAGACAGCAAAAAGTTGTTAAAACACAGGATGGATGAATGAATGAATGAATAAATAAATAAATACATTAACAGCAAAAGGAGGACTTAGAAGAATCTCCATACTGGATGACACATGATATTAGCACTTCACTTAGTGAACAGAAGAATGGTGCAAATATATATGTGCAAAAAAAGTTGTAGGTGTACCTTTGATCACAATACAGACATATCATTCAGTGTCTAGCTTTGAAGCCTCTTGAGTTAAACAACTGGAATAGAAAATTGATAGGCAAATAAATTAAATTTTATTGAAAAGTTAACTTACTGTTCAGACTTAATTATGAATCCCATCTCAGAGATTTTCTGTTGTGCTTTTCAATAGTAGCAATTTAGTCCTTAAATCCACAAAGGGCCTAAAAAATAGCTATGCAATTCATAAGATGTATTTAGAATAATAATGAACTTCTGTTATAAAGATGTTGAAAATTCCTTCCCTTCCCTTCCCTTCCCTTCCCTTCCCTTCCCTTCCCTTCCCTTCCCTTCCCTTCCCTTCCCTTCCCTTCCCTTCCCTTCCCTTCCCTTCCCTTCCCTTCCCTTCCCTTCCCTTCCCTTCCCTTCCCTTCCCTTCCCTTCCCTTCCCTTCCCTTCCCTTCCCTTCCCTTATGGTTCATACCGAACAAGAATTGAATTCTTTCAGGTTTGAAAATCTATTTTAGATCTACTGAGTTTGTAGAAATTCTACTGGGACATTACATCAATGTCAAAATAAAAAAAAAAAAAACTTTTTTTTTTTATTATTACAATAATTTGGTGAATTTGATCTGAATTAGCACATAATTTTGTACCACCTGAAATGACATTTTTGACCGATTCAGTACCCATAAAAAATACAGAATTAGATTTTCAATGAAAGTGTGAAACTAAAATTATACAGTAGTCTAAACAGTTTACATTATGCATTTTGAGTAATTTTGTGAACTCTGACATGTCACCTTAAGAGGAGAAAGAATTTATCTTTATTAGTGGTAAACATCTGCTGCTGTGAAAGTGTTGTGGTTTAAACCCAGGAAGCAGCTAACTACCATAGATCCTTTTCCTCGCTGTCCCCATTTGGGGTAGGGAAGAGAATCAGAAAGGTAACAGCACAAAAACTCATGGGTTAAGATAAAAACACTTTACTAGGTAAAGCAAAAGCTGCATGCACAAGCAAAACAAAACAAGAAATTCATTTGCTACTTCCCACCTTGCAGGCAGGTGTTCAGTCACTTTCAGAAATGCAGGGCTCATCATGCCTAGTGGTTTCTTGCAAAGACAAATGCCATCATTCTGAATGTCCTCCCCTTCCTCCTTCTTTACCTCAGCTCCCCTTTCTGAGTGTGAAAACTTGTGTTTCCTCACACATATATGGCATGGAATATTCTTCTGGTCATTCAGGATAACAAAAGGGGACCAGGAAATGCAGACTCAGGCCTCAAGATCTTCAAATAAAATTTTAATTGTCCATAATGATTTTCAGTTAGCCACAACAAAAATATCATCCACTAATCCAGGGTAAGATTTGTGTTTCAAAAATAAAGAGGTAAGCAGACTAAGGCTTCCAAACATTGAGTGATTATATCATAGACTCATGCATATGTGAAAATGATGTTTCTCTGATGCTTTGATGCTTCTCCATGAATCTGTGTAGTTCTTCAGACTTTAGCATGCAGAACATCATTTTCTCCCTAAACATTGTCCTAGCCAAAAAAAAAAAAAAAAAAAAGGTTCTTTGAACTCCTTTCTATTGTGAAATAGTGAAATAAGTGAATTAGAAAGGGGGTTGCTGGATGCCCCTTGTCAGACCAGAGCCAGCTTCAGATGTCTCCAAAAGGGACCCACCACTGGCCACAGCCAAGCCAGTGAGAGATGCTGGTTGGGCCTCTGGGAGAGCAGAGTTAATAAAAGGGTGTTTGTGGAGGAGGCAGGGGGGCAAAACTGCTGGGCATCAGCAGCTGGGAGAACAAGCATTGAGAACCAGCCCTGCAGACGCCAAGGTCAGTGCAGAAGGATGGCAGGAGATGCTCCAGGCATGCAGGAGAAGTTCCCCTGAAGCCTGTGGAGAGGCCCCTGGTGGAGCAGGCTGTTACCCTGCAGCCCATGGGTGGAGCAGATCTCCATGCTGCAGCCCATGGAGGAGCAGGTGGATGTGGCCTGAAGGAGGCTGCAGCCTGTGGAGAGCCCCTGCAGGACCACAGCTGCAGGGCATGGACAGGAGCAGAGGATGTGGGGGAAGCTGCCAGCCATGTGAGGGGCCCGTGTTGGAGCAGTTATCTCCTGATGGATGGACCCCATGGTAAGGACTCATGTTAGAGCAATTCTTGAGGAGCTGCTGCCTGTGGGAAGCCCTGCAGGCTCAGTTCAGGAAGGATGACATCCCATGGGAGGGGCCCCACGTGGAGCATGGGCAGAAAGTGACCATGAAGGAGCAGTGGAGATGAAGCATCATGAATTGACCACAGCCCTCATTCCCCTGTGCTTGCCTGGGGGGAGGATGTGGAAGAGGGTGGATGGGGGAAAGATGTTTTTAGTTTGCTTTTGGTTTCTCACTTCTCTAGCTTGTTAGTAATAGGCAATAAATTACATTAATCTCCCTATTCTGAGTCTGTTTTGCCTGTGACAATAACTGTTGAGTGATCTCCCTGTTGTTATCTCAACCTTGAGCCCTTTTCATGAGTCCTGTTCCCTTTGAGGAAGGGGAGTCAGAGAGTAGCTATGGTGGAGTTTATCTGCCCAGCTGAGTAAAACCACCACACTGGATAAACCCAATGCCTCAGTATACCAAACCTTTAAAGTGAATGTCAGTGAACAGAAGCAGTTTTATCCTTTAAAGTATTCTGGAATAAAATAATAATAATAATAATAATAATAATAATAATAATAATAATAATAATAATATATGTAAATCTATGTCAGCTTTGTTTTGCCTCCCCAGTCTTCCTCTTTCTTTGTACCTTGGATTCTGATTTGGGCTTCTTTATTCAACAGTGATTAAGATAGGCATACTGTAAAAAAGCCAGGCATACTGTACCTTGCACCCAATTTCCACCATGCTTTCTCTGGTTATTTTGTACCCACTGCAGATACATGCAAATCCCTTTCCTGTGTCAGCTAACAATCCATAACTATTTTGGCATTCTATGTATATTTTTGCCCCTTTAATTATTTTTCTTAACCTATAGTAGTTTATTTTGTTCAACAGTTATTCCCATTCTTCTCTTTTCCAGAGGATTATAATTTTAACAACCTTTTCAATCTATTCCTGCTTAACACACTGGTATCCCATACCCTTTTTAACTGTTCACACTTAATAGGATTAATTTCCCTTGTGTTCTGTGTGGTAGTTTATTAAGTATTAACTAATTTTCTGCAGTAGATGGCATATGCAATTCACTATAGTATTTCAGTTAATATTTCTTCCAGCATTCCCCATTCCCCAAAAATCTTTGCAGGATTAAAAATGGGGAATAAGTATGAAAGGATGATTTTGAGAATTTTCTTCACTGCAGGTAAATCCCCTCACTGAAGACTCTTCTATTCACATGGTAGAGAAACCCTGAAATGGTTTAGAGCTTCAAAAGTACTTGCAGTAAGGAGTATTCCTCCAAGCAATGTATATATACTGATGATGTTATTAATAGCTACAATAAATGTTAGTAATTACTACACCTTATTGCTCTCTACAACTCCCTGAAAGGAGTGTGTGGGTAGTTGGGGGTTGGCCTCTTCTCACAGGTAACTAGTGATAGGATTAGAGGGAATGGCCTCAAGTTGCACCAGGGGAGGTTTAGGTTAGAAATTAAGAGACACTTCTTCTCAGAAAGAGTAGTCAGGCATTGGAACATTTTGCCCAGGGAAGTGGTGGTGTCACCATCGCTGGGATGTTCAAAGAAAGGTTGGATGTGGTGCTTAGAAACATGGTTTAGTGAGTGACATTGGTAGCAGGGCGATGGTTGGACCATGTGATCTTGGAGGTCTTTTCCAACCTTAATGATTCTATGATTCTACCAGCTTTCTTAATAAATTATTGGAGCTAAAAAGTCCTTGTTTAGCCAAGCATCTGGCCATCATGTCCTGACCTCCAAAAGTCATGCTACTGTAGGATTTCAATGCTTAAATTTATGGAGAAGATAGGAATAAACCACACATAGTTCACATACTTTAAATGCAATTTTGAAAAGAACTCATACACTGAAGTTATGAAGATAATATCAAGTATTGCTTAACACTTTCTCAGTTGCATCTGAACAAACATGACTACTGATACAAAAGGGTGTTATTTTGAGTTTGACTATCTTCCATAATTAAAGACCCAGTGATCATTTTCTCAGGAGGAAGAGGGTCAGCTTAGATTTCAGCCACATTCCATTTCAGTTTCTTAGAATGTCCTGCATCCTTTGAATGAAGTGTGTTCATTTTCTCCACTTTCTGCCTGTTTGGTGTTGAGGCATACCATTAAAAAGATTTTGTGTTCTATCATAGAGGTGAAGTCATTTCTTTATGTAGCACATTGGGATCTTTATGGATAAAAGTTATTTGATGCTGTAAATTCAAGCTATGCTACTGCTCTGAAAATATGATTTAAAGACAGCTAGTGAAATGTTATCTTTCCCTGCAGCCTTCTTCCATGAGGGTTTGCATGGCCTGCAGACAGCTGTGTGTATTATTATAATGAATTATCTCTTACCTAGAGAAGCTACAAAACTAGGCAGGTTTTCAAGATTTTTTCCCAGGTTTATAGCCGTCTATAATTTCCAGAGATGACCAGACATATATGGACTATGGACAGGCCTGAAACTAGAAAATCGGAAAGGGTCCCAAAGCAGGCTTCTCAGAAATTATTTACAATAGCCACATTTTGTATATGAATTTATCACTGAAGTTGGGAGGGTACAGGTTAGATTTAATTATGCCATTCCACTGATTTCAGTACAGCTGCATATGGGTTTTCGAAAGGCTGGGACTTCAAAAGAAAATCTAAAGTATCTTGGTGAGTTTGTCTGGTTTTAGAGCATGAATTAATCTTTTCAACATCACTGAAGCTTTGTTTCATTATTTTGGAATAACTCTTGTTCAAACTAATGCAAATTTAATCACCTGACAGTGTCAATGCAGACATAAAATCATGTTTGATCAAATTGCTCTCTGACATGTGCAAGAACATCTCCCTTTAGAAATGGTACCATCAACATCATAAAGATCAAACTTGAAACAGAATTCAGCTGTACTTGAGTTGCTAATCTGTGTACTTCCTATGCCTTCCCTGTATGTAATACAGTTATAAATCAAAACCTTTCTGGTTTTGAAATTTGGTCTCTTTGCAGCTATGAAATTTGGTCTATTTGCAGTTCAGAAAATATCCAGGGACCTTCAGTAACTGTCTTGATGACACTTACAAGACGGATTTCTCAATTTAGCCAAAATGTCTAGGGTATGTGTATTTCTGAGGAAGTGGAGAAAATGCATCTTCCTCAGTTCAAGCAATGCAGCCAAAGCATCAGCAAAGAGAAGCTAAATTTGATTTTAATTTCTAGTAATCTGATTATTTTACTGCAGTAAAATTTGTGAAAAAAAAAAAAAGTTATACTTCTGTATGCTTAAATATATATATGGTAATATATAGATGCTCACGTGAGGTTCAGAAAACTTTTGAAAAAGTTAGTGTATGTCAAAATTTTATTACTATTATTATCACTGAATTGGAAAATATGAATGAAAATAATTCAAATAATTAATTCAAAGCAAATAATTCAAAACAAATATAGAACAGTAAGGAACAATACACTATGCTAACTTTTTTTTTTTTATTTTTAATAATTTAGAATGTGCTAGCAAAGTGAAAAATAAAAATAAAAATAAATGAGAAGATATTTTCAGCTCCTTGTCATTGTGGTTTCCTCATAGGAACAATTTACATTTGCTGTTAATCCTTCCTATTTCACAAAATAAGAGAGCTTTTCTCATCATAAAAGGATGAATACACGACTCTCTATTTAATGATTAACCTCTAAGGCTGGGTTTTACTACTATGAAAGTATTACTGATGATTATATACAGTTAGATTATATTTTCAGTTTCTATGTTCTGTTTTGTTTTTCTTAAACAAGCAGAGTTATACCACATATTTGCCTAGACTAATATGTTGTCTTGAATACTATCCTATAACATATATATCAGTGAAAGATAAAGTAAAAATGTGAAATGTATAAGCATGGACAAGTCTTTCTAAAACTTAACCAGATAATATGTCTTCTCTGGTATAATGTCTGTACTGGTAACCTATAAATATTCATTCCATTATAAATTCTATTCTTAGATTTGTTATTGTTGAATTTTGTTTGTTTGTTTGTTTTTCCAGAGCCTACTATTTTTTGTTTAATTAATTTTATATTTTACTAGAGTATTTTGAACTGACTCACAAGTATGATTTTTAGAATGTAGCTATTACCTCAGTGCAAATGCAGACTTTAATTACAGGTTTACTTTTATTGTTGTTCAATTCAGTCACTTATTGGTGTTCAATTCAGTCACTTTTCCAGCCTGTCTAAAGCAAATAATAATAATAACAAAACCAGAAATTTTAGCCTTCTGTTCATTAAATCTTCTTCTTCCCAAAATTCAATTAAAAATATATTAAAAAATAAATAAAAAATCATTGCAAAGTAATATTATTTTAAAACATTTTTAGATTAAGGAAAAC